ATTTCTGGCAGGGAATGGGAATAATTTACTGTGACTTAAAGCCATCAAAAATCCTGTTGGATGAAAATGGAATCGCGAAGGTATGGTGATCTTTATGTTGTGACTTTTCCACATCATGACATGTGCTTTTGACCAATTAAATGACGTTGAAGTTCCATTTGTTTCCTGGCAGGTGTGTGATTTTGAATTAGCAAGAAAATTGAGTGATATATTAAATACACCTTCCTCCCAAGTAGTTCACCCATCTCTCCCCTCCTTTTTGCCCTGAAATGAACAAAGGAAAAGTAAATTGGTGGCATAACTGTTTGGAAGTTCACTAAAGGTAACCTGTTTGGAAGTGCTTTTGACCAATTATATGACGTTGAAGTTTCAATCATGCTTCCCTTTTCCTCTTCCAGTTCTTATAAAAATAAGATTTCTTTGATAGCTCAAAACCATCTATGAACCTTTCGGATATTCTTTGGCATCCATCTTATCTCTCAGTGAGATCTGTAATGCCTAGTAGAAAATCAGTTAAAGGTTCAGATGCAATTCCTTTACTTTCATTTGATGCACTCAATTATCTGATTTTGTCAAAATGTCAAAGGAGCAATTAGACTCTTTTAATAGTAGAATCATCAGTATTGTTAGTGGGAATACTCCCTCAGAGGGGAGAAGCAAAATGTGATCAGATACTTTGAGCTTTTGAGCAGCAATGCTGATGCAGCCAACATCTTGACCAATGGGTCTATCGTGTTGGTTCTAGTCAAAATGCTTCATCACTCCAAGGTTTCTCTGTTGCATGATCAACTTGCTTCACTTATTGGCTTGTTGATTCATCACTCTACTTTTATAGGGGATGAGCTATCAATTCTAGAATATTAGGCGCACCAACTGATGGTCTAAGAGACGGGCAAAAGAATTTGAGAAGGTTTTCCATGGCTGCTTTGGGCGAATTACTATTTTATATATCTACTCAGAGTGAGCATGTTCGGGATAATAAACCAATGGAGTCTCCATCTAACGACAGCTGACCCTCATCCTGTTGGCAGGTATCTTCGTTGCTGTAGCTTCTTATTGGTGCAGCTTGTCAAGTTTATTACTCCCTCCATTTTTATTTTTGTCTTGTTTTGACTTGGCATGGAGTTTAAGTAAAGAAGACTTTTGAATATTGTGAACTTAATTAAAGATATGCAGAATGTACCAAATGTTCTTAAATTGAAACCGAGGGAGTGTTGTATTTGTTAAAATTCCTCTCCACGATATCTCACTAAGCTATACTGCAATGAGGTTTTAAGTATTAAGTGTTCGATGAGGAATCACTTAAAAGCATAGACACTGTCAGAAACACAATTCAAGCACCAATGCAGCTCTTATGAGAAACAATACAAGTTGTCACTAGGATATAAATGGTATACTTATTAATGGGATAAAAACCATTTATCTTTTAATTTGTGATAATTATACAGTCCCGTATACTCTCAGACATGCAAGTGTATGTAAGGATTATCTTGTAGTAAATCATATCCTAGAAATCTGCACGGGACAAATTTCTAACATGAAGAATAAGATGGATGACAAATGACAACTTGGCATAGACTTAGCTATCTGTCCCACATCACGAAATATTGTAGAATCTATACATACAAGATTTGACAAATTTTTCTCTGTATTTTACTGGATGAACTAATATAAGCTTGCAATTCCCTTGTAATGCAACACTGTATAGCAGTAAAATGAACAAGTGTATTAAGAGTAACGCAACACTATCTTTTACATATTGCAAAGCATAACATTTTGTCTTAACATTCCTTTCTGAAAATGTTAATGTTGTAGGTTACAATTCCAATAATTTCATTGGTTTCATCACTTTTAAGAAACGGAGAGGATGATATTACTATACTTAATGCTCTGAGGACAATTGGAAATATCTCCAGTCAAGGATGGTACTGGTCAGCTCAATTCACCAGCCAAGATGTCATTACTGACCTCTGCTACATATTTAAGGCTTCTGGAAAGCAGGGTCTTGCTTGGCTCATCTTGTTCGTTTTAGCCTTTCTAGTATTCAACGAGTCATGGAAAAACTGTCATTCAAGGATGTGGTTTCAAGTCTGGTCAAGCATAATTCACGGGAGTAACAAATCTGCTTAAACATTCTGAACCCTCCTTGAGAAAGTCATACACTTCCAAGTGTTGGAATGTACCTTCTTGCCTTGGTCGCAGACATGAATCTTGTTCTGAATTTGCTGACTTTAATTGAGCAGGGAAGTGAAGTTTTTAAGGGAAAGTGTCACGACCCGAGAGTACCCCCTAGTCGTAACATGGCGTATTCGACCCCGAAGGGGTCTTATACGAGCCACATAGTCATTCATTGCATTCAATAATGAAAATAGTGCGGAATAAAAAAAAAACTTATTTACATCCACACATTTAAAACTTCATTAAAACAACTTTAAAAACACACAGTGGAAGTCTAACTCTCACATGGCCATCTTAGACACAAACACAAAACATAAGTAGGGACACAACCCTTTACAATCAAAACAAAACTAAAAGTGTCTATTACATGAACAAAAGAACTTAAAAGTCTTATCCTCGAATCCATGAGGACATACCAAGTCTTGGAGGAAAGCAATCCAACACTTCAAACTAGCTAGGAGGGATCACTTGCCGGAACCTACACTT